TTTTGGTAAGAACATAAAGGGGATATTGTAATTGAGAAATCCAAATTTCAAGTCTTCAAGTCTTTAATAGCAAGGGAATGCACAGAGTGTCTTAGGTGTTGGTTGAGGCTGCCGAGGAGGGAGAAAGATAGGTACCTTATTGCTCTGCAGGGATAATTTCTCTTTTTGGGACCTGAAAGACATGGAATTATGGGCTTGAGTAGCTAGAAGGTGTAGGCCTGCCTGGAGGCAAGGGGATGCCTGGAGGACCCTGAGTTTTCTCTTTCATAGCCTGGCATAAACATGTAAAGGACATTACTACCACCTTGGGCTCCTTTGGACAACTTCCATCCCTTTGATAGAAATAGAATGGGACTAATCCGCCTTTGATCCTCATATGCTGCTGCCCAGCCTTTCAATGAGGAATAGTAACTATCACACTTTCTTTTTTTTCTTTTTCTTTCTGATTGTCAAACTGAGGGCTTTAACCTCATAAAATTTTGCACTCTGTGTCTTTTTCTGCTGTCTAGATTTTACCTTAAATTTAGTAACTGTACTGGGGCTTTTTGGTGTCCCTTAGCCACTGATAATGGTTTCACCTTCCTTTTTTCCTTTTCCTAATTCCAGTATCTGGGACTCCTCTGAGCTCATAGCTACTCTCCCAGGTTGAGTACCACTCAGCTAGGGTCTCTAATAGCAGCCCTCTCTCCTCTTTGTGTACCATTTTCAAGTCTCCTACTTTGAAGCCTAGAGCCCAGGTCTAGCACACCAGGGGCAATGTCAGGCTCCAAGCAGTGCCTCTCTAGGTTGACTCAATTCTCAGCATATGCCTTTTACTTTTATCTTTTGCCATTGTGTTTTCTTTATTCTCGGTCTTACATTTAAATTTAAATCTGGAGACTTGGCATTACTTTGAACCTCTGCTGGTGACTAGAGCTGTTTTACTTCACTAAAGTGCCACCAGTTCTCTTGTGGAGGTAGTTTGATTCCCGTATTTCTGACATGTTCAGTGTCTCATACAATAAATAAATCTCTCAGTGCTATTCCTAATCTACCTAGATTCTTGACGTAGATTGTCTCCATAGATTGAAACTTCCAGACCGTTGCCTGATTAGGGCTTTGGGCCTTGTGCCTAGAATGGCAATTCAGAGGACTCAGCTCTCCAGTCATCAGTTTCCATGGACCAGATGGTAGGGCTCTAATGATGTTACTTTCTACTCTTAACAGCCATCCCTTTTTACCACTCTTATACCATAAGAATTGCTTCTTTTTAGGTTGAAAGTTCAGAGATTGCTGAGATATATTGAGAAGTTCTTAGGTTTTCCCCTCATTACATCTTAGAGCAGTATATTTAGTAAACTTTCTGTATTGTTCTGAGCTTTTCATCCATACCAAACTTGACTTGGACCAGTAGAGATGTGGGCACTGAGCTTGCTGTATTAGTATTCTGGCAAATCTGAGGAGGGAAAACAGTTGCTCTTGAATGGGAGAGTGTCTGGAAAGGCTTCCAAGAAGAAGAGATACATAAACTTAGTTTTGATGGATAAGTAGGAATTTCCAGGAGCTAAGAGATTAGACATTCCTGCAGAAGGGTTAGTGTGTATAAGAATATTGCAGTTGTTAAAGGGAGAAATAACAAGAGAGGGAAAGAAAGTGTGAGCTGCTGATAATATGTGCTGATTACAGTAGAAGGGGAGGAAAGAAAGGCATTTATTTAGATGATGGTCAGGATGAGTAACTTAGTGGCAATCTTGTAGACTTACAGAATTTACAATTCAATGCCAGTCATATAACCAATCCGAGAACAATAACTCAGAAACAAGAAAGAAGTTAAGGTGAAAAGTTAGGAGTATGTTCCTGGGAGTGCAGTGTATCTGCAAAGTTAAGTTGCACTGGGCACCCTAATTTATCATGTCTCTTCTCTCTGGTAGTGACCCGCCACAATCACCTCAAAGATTTCATGCTGGTGGTGTCTATTGTTATTGGTGTTGGTGGCTGCTGGTTTGCCTATATCCAGAACCGTTATTCCAAGGAACACATGAAGAAGATGATGAAGGATCTAGAGGGGTTACACAGAGCTGAGCAGAGTCTCCATGACCTTCAGGAAAGGTAAGGCCCTGCCCCTTCCCTCCAGCTTTACCTGGTGTTGTTAGCTCTTGGGAGACTCCAGTTTGCACCTGGGGTGTGGGTTACCCTGAGACTTTGCTGGCATGACTGCGTAGGATGTGAAATCCTTCCAAGATTGCATTGAGAGCCTACATTCCTGATGTTCTAGGTATTTATTCCTCCCAGGGAAAAGCTAGTTTCTCTCCTGCTTCTGAACTTGAGAGGAAGAGCTGTGTAGCTATCAGAGATCTTGAACTTCCCTTCTTGAGTTGACTTATTAAGAGCCATTTTTATCCTTTGTCCTGTTTCTGGACTGCTTCTCTTCTCATATAAGTAGATGTAACTAACTGTTCTTTATGGCTCCTCCTCTCCACAAAATAAAACAAAAACAAAACCCTCTCTCTTACTAGTGCCTTTAGTTCCTTCTTGGTGTAGGATATAAATATGTTAAATACTGACTTGTTGTATGAGCTTGGATAAGCCTTTTTCCCTTTTGGGACTTATTTTCTCTCCAGTAGTATGTGGGGGTCCCACTAGGAGAACATCAGAGGCCTTCTAGCTCTTATAGTCTGGGTTTGTGTTAAACATTGTTTTAAAACTATAGCAGAAGTATTAACTGTAAAAACAATTCAAGTCAGTCAGTAAATCTAAGTACTTCCTGCCCTGTTCTAGGATACAGATCTGTGCTGGGATTTGGAAGGAACTCTGCTAGTAGGACAACAACAAACACACACACACACACACACACGAAGCAGCAGGGAGGACACACTTGGTAAAGTGATTTAAGGCCAACCTGTGGCATGAGAACTATAAGGACTGTAGGGCACAGAGAAAGAGATGTATGCATGGATGTAGGATTCTAAAGAGGAAGTCTTAAGAGATGGGTGGAGAAGCCTAAGTAGTTTAGGGTGAATGTGGAAGGCAGGACTAGACCCCTGAGATCTTAATGCATGCTTACATGGTGAAGCTTAGTGGAAGGCAGTAGAAAGTGAAATTTGGTCTGTTTTATGAAGAGGAGAAGGTCTGCCTCAGTACTCTTTTAGAACAAGGATTCTGACAGTGTAGGGGTTCCAGTTTGGATGTCTTGAAGAAATCTATGTAAAGGAAAACAAGCTTGATTCTTTTTAAAATGATAAATGAGATTTCTTTTCTTTTCTTTTTTCTTTTTGAGAGCAGGATGTGTTATGAACCAGGCATTATTAAACATTTAAATGCATTATTGCTTTTAATCACCACAGTCTTTTTGAGGTAGGTACTATTATTGTCCTTATTTTATAATAGAGGAATGGAGGCCCATAGAAGCTAAAAGTGCTTTGCTAGAGACTCGTGTAAATAGCCTAGGACTTTGACAACCAGAGGGTGCTGACTTTACTGAGGCTTCAGCCTTGTCACATTTATTTCCGTGGGGCTGAAGTTTGTAGCTGGTAAGAGGTGCTGTACAGAAGTTTGATCTTTGAGCAGATTCTTAACTACCCTAACTGGGCCCCATCCTTCTGGGCCTTTTGCCAACTGGGGGCTAACCACTGCTGTTTGAGAGGTCCCCATACTTCATTTGTCTGAAAAACATGCACTGTTTTCATTCCAAAGGCAAAATAATCTAGGCAGGAGACATTCCAAGTTTGGGGATAAAACTAAACTTCTAACCCTCCCTGCTTCCCAAGGCCTCAAGAGGGAAATGACCATGGTGACATTTATGAGTGCGCATGTGCGCGCGCGCGTGCGCGCGCACACACACACACACACACACACACACACACAAGCTTAACACCTGTACACCCCTCTGACAGTACACTGAGCCTACCTACCACCTTGTCTCAGGCTTTCACAGAGCAAGCTTCTGGCATTTTGGGTGAATCAATATAATGCTACATATGCATTCCAGTTAGGATTTCATTGGGTTTTCAAGATAATTCTTTGCAGCAGGTGGGGATTTTGGTCCTTATTTTACAGTGAAAAAAATAGTCTCATAAAAGGAACAGACTTATCCCAAGTTGTAGAAGTATGTAGAACTGGAATATGTATAATCATGCTAAGTCATTTATGAGCAGTCAGGAAATAAGGAGACACAATGCACTGGGAAAATCTGCAGTTAAGGACCTTCCACACTACTGAGGAGTAGTGATGTCAGTTGAGGACTAAGGTATGTCTGATTCGGGCCATAGTCTTTCCGATAACTAGCTATGCATCTCAGAGCTGGCCAGTGAATAAGGATGACAGAAAAAGAATTGATGCCTTTGAGCTGTAGTGTTGGAGAGGAGCACTGAACATCCCATGGATGGCCAAGAAAAGTGCTCTTTGGAGGCAAGAATGACGAGGCTTCGCCTCACACACTTTGGACTGTTGCTAGGAGGCAACATTCCTTGGAGAGAGACATGATGATGGGAATGGTGGAGGGTCGGCAAAGGAGAGGAAGACCCTCAACCAGTTGGATTGACACAGTAACTACTGCAGTGCGCTCTTGTGTGTTAGAAATTGTGAGGATGGTGCAGGATAGAACAGGATTCAGATCTTTTGTTCACAGGGTCACTATGAGCCGTACTTGACTCAACAGCACCTAACAACAACAGTGTGACTTTCAGTTGTAATTGTTGTTTTCACGATACTCAGTGCCTGGTATAGAGTTACACTGGGACAGAGTTGATTGCATATTTATTGGCTCATTTCTGTACCTAACTATTTACTGATCTTAGTCTTTTCTAGTCCCTTTTGGGGCTTAGGAAAGTAAGTCAGAGTTCTTTCTACTTTAAAGGAATTTGCTATTGTAGGGAAATAGTGTAGTATTTACTTTTATAGATAGGCTGCTTTTATACAGAACACTATTTCACAGAAGATTTGAATCTTTATGGTAGAATTTCAGGCAGTTATGGAAGAATGCAATAAAGGAGAATGTTCAACTAGAAAAGGAGATGAGGGTTAGGAAATGGCGCCCTGATTTGTTTTAGATATGCAAATAGCGCCATCTGGTGTGCAAGGCCTTTTCTCTCTTGTAGGAAGGAAACTGCAGTGTGTCAGCCGGAAGCTTACAGGCTAGAGGGACATTTCTTTCTTCCTTCCTTTCTCTCCCTCTTCCTTCCATGATGGCTCCACCACACCTTTACAATTGCAGCAGTTGACAATGTTATATGTTAAGCTTTTTGCAAGTTGCATTCTGGTTTTGCCCAGCAAACTCAATGTTCAGTATTCATCTCTATGAGCCTTCTTTGTCATTCTGTCTTCTCTACTTCAAGTCTAGGAGCTCTGGTAGTCTAATGGTAAGAAGCTACACTACAATCTCAGTGACACTTGGTTCAAATCTACCAGATGCTCGGTGAGAAACAGATGGGCATTCTCCTCCCATGTGTTTTAACTGCCTCTGAAAACCCACTGGAGGATCAGTTATGGGTTGTTTCCAACTTGTCTGGCAAACAACAGCCACCTCAAGTCTTAGCCATGTATCTTACTTCTACCTATCCTCTTGTCCCCTTGTGTCTTCATAGTTCCTAAGACTGATGGGAATGCTAGCTAGACATTTTCCTTCTTCCAGAAAGATTAGCAAACTTTCCCCACCTGGTCTCACTCACGCCTGCCCTTCCCTTACTCCTTTCAGGTACAGTTGATCACTCTGTCCTTTGAATTCACCCAGTATCTTATATCTCTTTATAGAACTTATTACACTTTATATGTTTGTCTCTTTACTTGTCTTTACTGGACTAGATCATGAGTTTTCTAGTGATGTAGGATAGTTTTCTGATTCATCTCATTGACTCATTAAGCACTGCTATCTCCACTGCTTAGCAAAGAGCCTGCCATCTAGTAGGCACCACAAAGTACTTCATGAATGAGTGAATAATTGACTGGATTAAAAGAAACATACAGAGGAAAGCGAGGAAGGAAAGAGACTTTATTGGCTGGATGAAAGGTCCTTATTACACAGAGGGAATATGTGGGTAGGTGGGTGCAAGTAAATTTTCATTCTGGTTAATACCATTGAGATCTTTCCCACCACAGAAGATACTCAGGGTAGAACTCAAGACCTATGGGTCGCAAAGGTCTTACTTAAGCTCTGCCCAACCCCTTCACTTTCAGTTTTCTGAGTTTCTGGGAACAGGTATGCACAATTCCAAGAGGTCCAACCCATTAGCTCCTTTCTCCTATTTTTTAGACCTGCCTCTGTCACCATCCAGTCGTATCTCAGCCGTTGAGCTTTCCTTTGAGCTTTTGGTAACTTGCAGAGTATTCTACATTTATAGAACCTTCCAGATGCCTTAGTATAAGTGGATCAAGGAAAATTTGGAATCATACAGATTGGAGTTCTAGATCTCATATCTATCTGAAAGTTACATTGTATTTATAAATCTTCACATCTACGTTTGCCCACTGCTGATAATGACAAAAACATATTATCTATAGGGAAGGAATTTTGAAATAGATTATAAATGATACTTGTTCTTATGATTCTTATCATATGAGGCACTTTTAGATGCCTGATAATCTGACTTCCAAGTCTTGGTTATTGGCAGTGAAATTATCACCAAGGTAAGAATTAAGGTGAATATGGTAGTTTTTTATTGACCCTGGGATAGCTCAGAGCCAGATAGTCATAGAGAAAGGAGAACATTTGTCAAATACTGGAGCCCTCATTTTCTTCTTTGATGCCATGACTCTTGTATACTGGCTTAAACTCATGTGCCTTGTCCCCTGTCACTACCCAGGCTGCACAAGGCCCAGGAGGAACACCGAACAGTGGAAGTAGAGAAGGTACATCTGGAAAAGAAGCTGCGTGATGAGATCAATCTTGCCAAGCAGGAAGCACAGAGGCTGAAGGAACTGCGGGAAGGCACTGAGAATGAGCGGAGCCGCCAAAAATATGCTGAGGAGGAGTTGGAGCAGGTAGGAGAGTCAGCTAACATCTAAACACTTTGAGAGGTGAGAAATGACAAGGCAAGAAGGATCAAGAGGCTTGGTGGAACATTTCAGGTGAGAATTTGACGTGTGGCTAAAAGAATATTCCTTAGAGTCATTAGCAGTAAGAGCAGTAGAACCCTTGCAAAAAATAGTCACTGTGATTTTCGAAGGACAGTGATAATTGTTTCCTTTATTCTTTTTTCTATTGAGATATTTACACAAAATAAAGTATAAAGCCATAAACAGACAACTAGAGCTGTGACTACCACTCAGATCTAGGTATAAAACCTTTTAGGTACTCAAGAAAGCTTACTTTTGCCCCTACATTCCACCTCCAGGCAAAGTTCTATCTAAAAGATAATTTCAGCCATAGTCTCTAAACCATAGGTCAGTTTCACCTGATTTTGCCTAATTGGAATTATACAATTCATATTCTATTGTGTTTGTGTTTGCTTTTTTTTTTTTAAATCAACATTGGGTTGGTGATAGATGTTATATGATGTTAGATGTTGCTAGATGTTGTATTTGTTAATTTATTTTCACTACTGAGTAATAATTCATTGCATAAGTATATTGTATTTATCCATTATCCTGCTAGTAGACATTCTGGTTGTTTACAGGTTTTAGTTCATTATTATTTTGTTTCTATAAATAACACTGTTTCAAAACTTCTTGCATATATCAAGGTATAGGCATAAGCCCTACTTTCTGTTGAATATATAATACTGCTCTTGTTAGTTGCTGGTGTCATATATAACATTTCTCTATTTTTTTTAATCTCAATGTTGTGTAGTTTCAGTATAGAGAGTTTTAATTTTTTAAGAACTTTAACTTGCCTTTGTTTTTCTAGCTTTTTGAGGTATAACCTTCAGTCTTTTCTAATATATTAATGTAGATGTATAAGTTTCCTTCTCAACATTGCTTTAGCTGCATTTAGTTATTTACAATTCATTCAATTCAAGGATTATTTTTTTCTAATTTTCTTTGTGATTTCTTTTTTGATTCTTGGTTATTTGGAAGTATTTTGTTTAATGTTTAAACATTTTAGGATTTTAAAAAATTTATCTTTCTTTTATTGATTTCTAATTTTAATTTTATTTTGGTCAGAGAAGATAGGCTGTATGGAGACTATATATCTAGTCTCCAGCATAGTTCTAGAACTCAGTAAATACTCCTTAGGAAAAACTAAGATGTATGTTTGGGATCCTTTAATTTCTGACTTGTCATACTACTCCCGTGTTACTACCAAAAGTTGGGTTGAATTGTCTATGTTCTAGCAGAGTTTTTTTTGGCTTGAGCCAATTCCAGTTCTCAGCTCTTATCCAAGACCATTACATACTTCCAGGAAAGAATGTCTGGCAATTGTCACCTCACATTTAGATGGGTTTTTAAATCTGGTACAGTTTTTTTTTTTTTTTTTAATCTCAGGACCCCTTTACTCCTAAAAATTATTTAGAACTTCAAAAGAACATTTGTTTTGGGAATTATATGTTGATATAAGAGCCATGGTGGTGCAGTCATTAAGCTCTTGGCTGCTGACTGAAAAGCTGACCATTCCACACAGGCTACTCTGGGAGAGAGATGTGGCAGTTGGCTTCCATAAAGATTTACAGTCTTGGAAATACTAGGGGGCAGTACCCTTTGTCTTGTAGGCTTGTTAGGAGTTGAAATCAACTCAATGGCAGTAGGTTATAGTTGATTACCATAATTAACATATAAATGAATTGTTAAACATCTTTATGTTTTTCTCCACTATAACCTCTGATAATGCTCTAGTAAGGTATACTAGAGAAAATGTAAAAATAATAATTCATTGAAAATAACTATATTGCCCTATCACATGTTAACATAAAGAACACATAATAATAAAAAGTGACTATATTTTCAAAAATAGAAACAATAGGAATGCTGTTGTTGTTGTTATGTGCCATTGAGTCATTTGTGACTCACAGCAACCCTATGTACAACAGTCCTAAACCCTGCTCTATCCTGTGCCAATCCCACTGCCTCTGACACACCTATCCCGATTACCCCAGTCACTGAATCA